TTTAACTATGAACAATCACGCTTAAGCAACATAATCTTTACTCCCTGGAATGGAGATAAGAAATGCCCTAACCTTTGGAATAGAAATTGATAGGATTGAAATCAACTGGTATAAATACAGATGTAACAAGACAACAGGACACAGAACCTAGAGACAGAACCTAGTGAGAGAACCGAACCAGAACTTGGCTAGAAGACCTAGACAGAACTTGGCTGGAGATGCTGGCTACAGAACCTGGCTGAAGAACCTAGCAAGAGAACGTGGCTAGAGAACCTGGACAGAACCTGGCGACTGAACCTGCCTGGAGAACCTAGCAAGAGAACATGGACATAGAACCTGGCTGGAGATCCTAACCAGAACTTGGCTGGAGATCCTAGACAGAACTTGGCTGGAGATCCTGGCTAGAGGAACCTGGCTATGATGATCACCTGAAGGCTGCTTCTGTGTCATTCCTTCTTCGCCGACTCCGTCCACACCTTTGGGGACCCCTGGACCTGCTGGGGCTGGACCCCAGCACAGAATGATAATCACTAACGAACAGAAACTAGCCCCAATACTGAGAACTTGCAGCCAACATCAGGAGGCCCTGTGTGACCACGGCGCCCGCTTGCTCCTAAGGAAGCGGTGTCTCAGCGTGTCCGCTACTGTACCTGTAATTTTTTATGTGGATGGGTGACTGAATGAATGAGTGAATTCTTTCCCGTTGATGTCTTGATGTGAATGATCACATAACAGATCCCTGGGAAGATGGTTCAACCCCTATCGGAAGCAGGCGGAAGACGGAACAAAAGGGAAGTCTTGCTGTCCTGGGAGAGGGCCCGGCCTGCGGGGTCCCGAGCAGGGTGGGAATCCACAGCGATGCTTCCTGGGCCCGGCTGTTGGCCACTTCATGAATCACAGACTATCAGTCTCGTCAATAAGGTGGAATGGTTTTAACGGAAACAAGTGTAGAGAAGAAAGGAGTTTGGAGGACAGTGCTCAAAGATGGAGGTTGCCAGAATCATGTCCTGTGCACTTGTTTGTGGTTTAGATGCAGGCCTGTGAGAGTTGACGGGATGGGCAGTAACAGCAGCACAGCCGTGTACAGTGTGCAAGATACGAAAGGGGAAAGACCCCTGCTCTGGCAGCGCTTTCCCTGCCTCCACCTCCCCAGGCAGGGGCTGCTGCACACTGCCCCCGGCTTTTCCAGAGCCCTTCTTCACGGACTCCCCTCACTGTGCCGGGAGCCTCCTGAATGAGTGTGGTCCAGGGCACTCCCCTTTTCCTGGCCTTCTTGTTTTGTGTGCAAGCACTTGCTAAGCTAACTAACAACAGCCTCCCGCCAGGATTTTCTGGATATTTCTGGATATTCAGAAATTATTCAGATTATTTGGACCTGCCTAGGGTATATATTCTCAGATGCTTGTCTTCTAATGTAGACGTTCAGAGGGCATTGGACCCAGAACGAGCCAGGTATGCCAACGAGCTGGGGGGGAAGGGGAGGAAATCACTTTTTAATGTCAGGGAACGTGGAAATAAATGAGCTTACAGATTATTTCTGATTCCTTCTAGCCCCACTCCCCAAAGATGATTTTCCCTCCCAACCCCCAAATTACTGAGACTTCACTCATAGATTTGGAAGTTCTCAGCAGCCCAAAGCAAGCCTGAGTTCTTCTTGCCAGTGTCCCCCTATTTTATTTTATTTTTTTAATTGAGTTCAGAGAGAGGGAGAGAGAGATAGAAACAGCAATCACAGGAGAGAATCATCCATCGTCTGCCTCCCACACATCCCCTACTGGGGATTGAGCCCACATCCTGGCCATGCGCTCTGACCAGGAATCAAACTCTAACCTCCTAGTTCATAGGTCAATGCTCAACCATTGAGCCACACCAGCTGAGCATCCCATATTTTAAATATGAATACTGCCCATTACATGGTTTTACATCTTCAGCCCTGCCCTACTTCATGCAGCAGTGAAATTTAAAGATGGCTTCCATTTGAAAATGTTTAGATAGTCTCTTCTCTTTGAAAATGTTTAGACAGTCTAAGATTATTTTTTAAAAAAAAACAAAAAACTGTCCTGGCAAACCAAGGCTTTTTATATCAAAAAGCCAAGCTTCTTATGCATAAGAGGGTTTCCTACTGTTTTCATTTTGACAGGAGGCGCTGTAGTTTGAGATTGTTTTCTGATCCTAGGAGGCCAGTCTCACGTCTAGTCAACTGAAGCTGTGACCCATGGGGAACATGGGGACCTGGGGCCAGCCCCCCTCACCTCACTCTTCCAACCTGCCCCCACCTAACGCCCCACATTTATGGTGTCAGCCACAGTTTAAGGTTTTGTTCACATGGTTACACGGAAGCCCCCCACCAGGGGGGAGGGGGCACAGCTTAAAGAGATGGAGGTGCCCAAGAAAGCCACTCCCCACTCTAATTTCTCCCAGGTCAGCCCTGGTAGAGTCGTAGACTGAAAACATTCAGGTCTAAAGGATCTGATTTTACAGAATGAGAAACTGAGGCTCCGAGTGGGGAGGCACATTGCCCAAGGACAACAGCTGGTCAGGCAACTGGGGGCGGAAACCCGGATTGCCTGCTGCGCAGACAGAGGCTGCCTTTCAGGGACAACAGGCACGTGAGCAGCAACATTTAGGGGCCACATCACTTTGAAATATGAAAATGGAAGTGGCTGGGAAAATAGAGAAACTTTTCAAAATGGCTTTCTGACTCTGAGTAAACAGTAACCACATTTTTTTTTGCCTGTTGGAGGCCTGGTTTTTAATCACTCCACAAGCAGTTTTCATTTCTGTAGTAAAATTGCTTGTGGTTCTATTTAATTTGTTTCTGCAGGAGCCAGCTTTGATGAAGATCTCCGAGGAGCTGGCGGGCCTTTTAGCACAGCACGCTCAGCCAGTCAATGAGAAACGCTTCCCCACGTGGAGGAAATTCCTCTCCACACTTCTCAGTCAAGGTAAATAAGACTGTAAAGTTTCTATCGAGCACCCATTTCCACAACCTTGAATTCTAGTTCTGGGTCAACCTGGGGCCCATTTAAACACCTCGCATCTCTTGTGTTGGTTTGGAAAAGGGCTCCAACAGCAGGCGCTTTCCCTCTTTTAAACTTTGCCTAAATGTTTATCTTGCACTCGGCCCCTTAAGTAAATAGGAACTGGGCACACCAAGCTTGGCAGGCGCAGCTCAGGACCGCAGGCCTTTATGCGCACCACAGACTTCTCCTGACAGGTGGGTGTTGCGACTGGTGATCTGGATCTGGATCTTACCACGACCAGGAGCAAAGTTCTTAAACCCTCGGAGGCCAGGTTTCTGCACTCACCTACTTCACAGAGTTGGTGGGAGGAGTCAGCGAAACAGATGTGAAGGATTCTACCTGCAATGGGAAATAAATGTCAGTTTCCTCCTCTGTTTCCTGGGAGGGTAGAAGTGGTCTCACCTTCTCCTGTGAAGGTAGAATCTATAATAATAAAAGCGTAATATGTTAATTAGACTGGACAGCTGAACGACCTTCTGGACATCCTTCCAGACATCCTTCCGGATGAAGTAGTCGCTGCACCGGGGGCCAAGGCAGAGGCAGTTAGGGGTGATCAGGCAGGCAGCCAGGCAAGCAAGTGGTTAGGGGCAATCAGGCAGGCAGGCAGGAGCTAGCAGTGCTGGATTGTGAGAGAGTGCAGGCCAGGCTGAGGGCTCTCCCACCACATGCAAGAATTTCGTGCACCTGGCCTCTACTTGCTAAATAAGCATCCTCTACAGTTCTGGAACAGTTCCATTCCTTTCATCCTCCTCCTCCTAACTCATCCTCAATTTCTAAGGACATTAGGAGGCCTGTGAATGAGGGAATGAATGAAGTGAATGATATTTATCCCCAGTGGCAGAGATCCCTGTGGGAGTGTTACACCCAGAGACACCCATGCAGTGCCACTTACTCCCTAGGAGGTTACAGCTTCAGGCAGATATTCTTATATGCTTACCCACATGAATGAAAAGAGAAGGCTAGTGTAACCAACTTACAGAAGATACCTTTTCATCTATTCACCACCATCAGGTGATAATATTATATTAACATCAATATGTAATAATATCATAATACTGTAATATTATATGGTAACAGCAGCAGCAGCAACAGCACAATCATGCTAATAGCAGTGATGATAGCCTAATAAGCACCAACGGTGCATATTATGTGCCAGGCACTATTCTAAGTATATGTATATTAATTCATTTGGTCTTCCTAATAACCTTATGAGGTGGGTACCATTATCACCCTTGTGTTATAGAGGGGGAAACTGCAGTACAAGAGATCAGCTACCTTGCCCCAAACCACTCTGTTGTTATGTAATAGAGTCAACAAAAGGCTATGCCTGTGTTGCTCCAGGAATGTTGGCCAGAGCCCAGAGACGGTGGGTATATTTATCAAGGAACACATCTTGGCCCAGTGTGTGGGAGAGCATCGAGACCTGTTGGTTGTCGGAACACACTGGCTGGGCAGGGTGGGATGGGATGGCTTAGCCAACACAGCTAACAAATTATTTAAGCAAGAGGTTGGATGGCCAGCCATATAACAAGAATGTTGAAAAGGGTTTTCCTGGGTCGGGGGAGATATTGCTGCATGATTCCCAGTGTTCTCTCAAATCTAAATATCTATAATTCCACAAATTTCCATGTACCCACTGACAGAAAGACCAAACTAAAAGAGTCAACCCCAAGCATAACCAGAAGAAAACAAGGTACCCATGACAACAACAAAAGAAAATGGTCAAGAATAAGGGATTCTTGCCCTGTGTGGTTTGGCTCAGTAGATTGAGCTTTTGCCCCGAGAACTGAAGGGTCTCAGGTTCTATTCCAGTCAAGGGCACTTTACCTCAGTTGCAGACTTCATCCCCTCCCCAGTCCAGGGAGGCAACCACTGGATGTGTCTCTCTCACAACGATGTTTCTCTATCTCTCCCCTTCCCTTCCACTCTCTCTAAAAAATCAGTGGAAAAATATTCTCAGCTAAGGATTAACAACAACAACAAAAAGAATAAGGGATTCTTGCCCTGGCCAGGTGGCTCAGTCGTTTGGAGCGTTGTCCCGTACACCAAAAGATTACAAATTCAATCCCAGGTCAGATTGAGTACAGATGTTTCTCCCCGCCCCTCCCTCCGCCCCCCAATTCTCTCTCAAAGCAATGAAAGCATATCATTGGGTGAGGATTTAAAAAACAAAACAGAAAGAATAAGGGATCCTTTTTAAGTTAGAACAGAAAAACAGACGTGAAGTTCTCCAGGTCCATCCAGGACAGGATATTAGGAAGTTCCCAGATCATCCAAGGTCAGCTCACAAACCTTCCTTTAATCT